AGGGACGGAGCTCTGGAGGCCTTGGCGGTCCCTCTGGCCCTGAGGGTGGCCAGTTACCATCCCCAGACTCACCTTGATTTGGGACATCGCCAGCATTCTGCCTAGGCCATAACTCCCCTCTCAGGTGACAGTTTGCTGTCGCTATTGCATCTGGCCGCCCCTCCAGGGCGGCCTTGATTCCCTTGCCACAGCCCTGGAACTGGGAGCCGCCTGGGTGACCCGAGGCAGGGTGTCCTCTAAGGTCACCCAGTAAGTTGGGGACAGAGCTCAGGTTATAACCAGGTTTTCCCAGTACCCGGTCTGGTCACTTTCCCCTGCCACCCCCTGTCTGGCTCCCAGAGCAGTACCGGGCCAGGCGGCCTTGCTCAACACTGAGCGGAATATTTTCCAGCCCGGCCCCGGTGCTGGCAGGTGGGGAAGCAGAGGAACTGGTCCTCCAGCTCCTGGCCGGCTCCCAGCCCTCAGCTGGGCCTGTTCAGAGACAAGTCCCTGCGTGGGCTGGAGGCAGTGCCGCTCTGCGGAGGGCAGGGCGGGAGGGCGGGGCGGGGTGCTGGCGGCAGCTCCCACCTCATTTGGGCAGCAGGGCTGGCACTGGCTGCTAGGGTCCCCTCTCCGCACATCCCTGGCCTCTTAGGGTACCCCGAGTGGGCACCGTGGGGCGAGGGAAAGGGCCCTGCATCCTCGACTTTGGGTTTCCCGTCTGTGAAACCCGGCGTTCAGGGCCATGAGAAATGCAAGTGCAGATGCTGCCCTGGAATCCCCGAGCTTTGAGGCCTGTCTCCAGGTGCCCGCGTTGGGACCGCGGAGGTGGGGTTGTGGGGGGGGTGCTGAGGGTCAGGTGCCCAGGAGGCCCAGTGGAAGGGCTGATGGGGATATTGGGGCCTGCTTGGTGCCCTTTCGGAAGCACAGTCTCGGGGAGACGGTGGAAGCCTCCCTGCCCGGCCCCCAGGCCCCTCCCACCCTGGGCCAGTCCCATCACCCCCTCTGCAGGTCCCAGCTTGACTCGGTTCTCGTTGGAGAGACACTGAGCTGATAAATCACTGTGCCTGTCAAGCCGGAAATGCTGATGCTGCCCTGAGGCGCGGCGGGGCCCTCCCTCCTGGGAGTGTCGGCCGGCAGGGGATAGATTTCAGGGTCTGGAGGCTGAAGCGGGGCGTCCGTGCCTCCTCCAGGGCCTAAACTTGTCCCCCCCACCCGCCACCACCCCGTCAGCTACCAAGTTAGGAAAGAAGACTTGGGAGAGGAAGCGATTGATTGACCCTCTACCCGCTGGATACCCTGAGTGGGAGAGAGCCCAGTGTCTTCCTGCGCCCTGGCCTGTGAGCCTGTCTGTCGCATGCCTGTCAGCCACTAGCTTGTCACCCGCACCGCGGTGGCCTCACTGATGAGGAACTGTGGCCTCTGCGCCCAGACCCCAGCCTGGCCGTCAGAGCCCTAGGGGAGTTCAGGGCTCTCGAGCCAAGGCGGGAAGCATCCGGAGGGAGGCAGAGAGCTGCCCAGGCCGCCCCGCAAGGGACCTCCCCGGGGCAGCCACGGGGCAGGGCTCTTTCCCTGCCGACATGCCTGGCTCTGGGCCTTTCCCAGGGCCCCGTGCTCCCCTCCCCAGCCCTGCCCTGGCTCCGCCTGCTCCCCCCCCCCCCCACCATAGCTCCTGTTGTTTTTAGGCTGATTATTGCCTCAGACCAGGGGGCTGGCCCACAGCTGCCCTGAACACCTGAGGCGGAGAGGCAAGGGGGAGGAGGAAGAAGACAGGGCGGTGGTGTTCAGCCCCAGCCTAGCATCGGGACAGGTGCTTTTTATGTCTGTTTTCTGCTTCTTGAACTGCTGAGAATAGGGGTCTGTGCCTCTGGGGGTCCTCCAGCTTCACGGTGAGGACAGCTACGGATGACAGATACCCAAACCCTCTTTTCCACTGGGCGCTGCCATGCTACCGAACCCCCCGTGCTGCCCAAGTTAGTGACTCGGGCCGAGTGGGGTTTCAAGGCCTGGCCCTCGTGTCCCCTGTCGGGTGGCTCCCTGTGCCCCAGCCTCTGGGGCCCCCCTTTCCGGAAGCCTGCTGGAGTGGGGCACCTGGCTGAGGGTCCTGGGAGCTCACCGGGGCCAGGACTAGACCCCTCTTACCTCCTTTTCTCCCCAAAGCCCCTGGATGGTCACCCCCAAGTTTTGAACGTGAAGATGGGTTCCATATCAAATGGTGGTGTAGTTTTAGCATGTGTTTGTTAAAAAGCAACGATCCGATGAACTTGGTAATGCTTTTGAAAGGATCTGTGTTTTATCCATCACTTAAGTCAAGCAGCAGGTGACAGCGCCTCAGGGTGTGGGCTGGAAACTGCAGGTCTTGGGACCTGCTGGCTGCAGCTGCTGCGGTGGAGGGAGGGGGCGGGTGGGGGAGCGGTCAGCCCAGAGCACGAAGCTCCTCACTTGAACCTCTGAGTTACCCACTTGGTGTCCTGCCTTGTGACCCTGCCAAGGAGCTTCTGTGCCCAAGGTGTTTTGGAGGGAAACCCGGCCCCAGGTCCCCTCAGCTGCCCAGGGAAAGGGCTCTACTCGGATGGGGGTTCCCCAGGAGGGTGGCCCTTTCAGTGGCTAGTGCGGTTTGAAGGCTGACCCTTGAAGCGTCTGTGCCAGCCTTTAGCCACAGACTCCCAGCCTCCTCCTGGGAATCTCTGGCAGCTGAGTGAAGAGCCAGCCCCAGTGGCCTTGACCCTGTGCCTGTCGATGCTGTCCCCTCCACCTCTGGGACAGGGACTGGCGCCTCTGCTCCCTCTGCCTGGGGCAGAGGTCAGGGATTCTCGCTTAGCAACGTGCTCTGGAGCCTCCCATGTCGCGAAGCTCTAGGCAGGTTTCTTTTAAAACAGAAGGGGCAGCCAGGGAAGGCGGTCCCTTGAGGCTGGGGAGAGGGAGAAGAGGGGCAGGCGAGGAGAGCAGGTGCTCCCTAGAAGGCTTCAGACACTCACTGCCACTGCCCAGCGGCCATGGGCAGGTCCCCACCCTGTCTGCCCCCTAGTTCCTTATCTCTGGGAGGTGCCAACCTCGGCCCTGCCTGTCTCACCTGCAGGAATGGAAGGGGAGCAGGTGGGAAGTGTCCAGTGTCCGTGAAGGCCTCCCTCTCCTGCTCTTTCCTGCTCCACGGGAGCCTTGCCCCCAGGCCCTTCCCAGCAGCCCCAGGTGTGGCCGGGAGACCAGGGTCTCTGAGACAGAGATGGGCCAGTTCTCGCCCTCCCTGTCCCTCAGCCTCCACGCATCTGCCCCGTAACCCCAGATCCGCGCCGCAGTCAAACCTGGCCTTGTCCCTCCAGGCGGGTGGGCTTCCAAGGGCCTGTGCTGAGGACAGGGAAGGAGCAGATTAGGTTGGTCCTTGCTTTGAGCAAACTGAACATGTGGGAAGTTTAGACTGTAATTTACCACAAGGGTTTGGATTTGTTGTGTGAAGAAGCTGATTTTCCCAGGATTTGGAGAGGTTAAAGCGTTTGTTAAAGACATGGGCAGGCTTGCCCTTCCCTCCCCGGGTAGGTTCCAAGCTGGACCAGCCTGTCCCCGAGCAGCCCCAGGACACAGCTGGTGGCCTCTGAGAAGGGCCAGGGTCAGAGGCAGGGCAGAGCCCCACGTGAGGTATTGAGCCAGGCGGCTTCCGGCTCTCAGCACAGCGGGACTGCTAAGCAAAACCGGAAGTGTCACCCCAAGCTCAAGTCAGCTGGTCCTGGCCATCCGAGTTCAAGTTCAGCAGTTTCTGCTGATTTCCTCCTCCGGGAGAGGCTGAGGGCATCGCGGGAGGCTGAGGTGCAGGGGATTTAGGAGGTCACCATAGCCCATCCCGTGCTCCCACCCAGCCCTGGAGGGAGAGGCTGCCCTGAGGCCTGGGAGCTGGTTTCAGGGGAGAAAGTGTTTGCTTAAGAGCTTGCTGTGTAAACAAGATCCACAGAGGGATAAGCTGAGCGAGCTGAGGAGACAAATTGTTTTCAGGGAATGGGGCAGATCCCAAATCTTATCTAGTCACGAGAGAGGCCCCGCTCTTGGGAAATTGCTAACCTGTTGGGGCTTCTCTATGTAGGTGAGAGGCTGGGCCGCGGCGGTGCCTCCATGAGCGCCGTGAAATAGGGCCTGGGCTCATTGGCCCTCCTGGGTTCCACAGGACGATCTGTGCTCTTTACAGCGCAGCGGAGGCTGCTCTGCTTGGAGCCCTGCCTCCTGCTCCATGTCCAGCTTTCTCTCCGAGGGAGGGAGCCAGTATGCGGGGATCAGTGTTCACCCCCAGGGCTGGCTTGGGGGACTAGAGGGTGAGCAGAGGCGCTGGGCAAGCTTGAAGCAGGGCTGGGCGTGGACGGCCCTGGCCCTGGATGGGAGTCCGTTGGGGCGGGGGTGCCCGCTCTGCGCCTGCCGTGTGGGCAGCGGTCTTTGTTACTGAAGGGGGCACACTTGGGGAGGCAGGGCAGGCGTGTGCCGCATCCCTGGGGACAGTGGATAGAGAGAGGCAGGATGTGGCCTGGGGTGCAGCCGGAGTTCAGGGATGATGTTCAGTGTAGATTGGCCGTGGCAGCCCAGACAGATCCTTCTGGAGCCAAATCCTTTTCCTGGGACAGGTTGGGGGTTGCGCTTTTAAAGAAAGCTCAGTGGTATTTCTAGCCCTGCCGTTCCTACACACGCCTGAAGCTTCCCTGGATGGGAAGCCTCCGCCTGGTCCAGCTCACTGCGCCGCAGCGCAGGGCTCGCCTGTCCTGCCCCGCCCCGCTCCACTCAGGACGGAGGCCGGTGGCCTGTGGCCAGGACCTGGCGAGCCTGTAGGGCCGGGGAGGCCCTTCCCTGGGGCCCAGCCTCTGGAGGGGCCCTCCTGACCAGTCCGCACAGGGCCGCCTGTGGGCTGGCTCCCTCCTGCCCCCTCTCCTCCTGCAACTCCCCCCACCTCCATCTCGCCTCTTCCCAGACGGGCCCCAGAGGCCCCCTCCCGGTGCTGGGTGGCTCTTGCTCCCCTCCACTCATACCCCTTTCTGACCCTTTTCCAGCAAATCGTGGCTACAAATGTGCCACCCGAAGATCAGGATGGCTCCGGGGACGACTCTGACAACTTCTCTGGCTCCGGGGCAGGTGAGCTGGCACGAGGGCCCCACCCCAAGGTGGCAGCAGGCCGTGGGCTGGGACCGCGGTCAGGCAGCCCCCCAACTGGGCCCAAAGGGCGGCTCCAGGGAGAGGATGGGGTCTGAGTTGCAAGGAGAAAACACTTACGGGTGAGAAGTGGCTGCTGCGGCCCCAGCAGGCCCCAGGGCCACCTGCTGCGGACACACTTGGGCTCCTGCCCTCCTCTCCACTCCCTGGGCAGCCTTCGGAAGCTTGTTTGATATCTCCAAGCCCCTATTTCCTGTATGTAAAATGGGAATAGTATCTTGACATCTCGAGGTTGCTGGGAATTAGGTGTGAGGCAGCACAGAGCCTCGGGGGCTGTATATCTTTATAGATGGTCTCTTATCATCCCCACGTTCCATTCCCTGGGGAAATGAAGTCCCTGAGCCAGAGGTGTCAGGGCGGCCTCCCAGAGGAGGTGCTTTTGAGCCAGACCTCAGAAGAAGGCTGAGGCTGTCTGTGGGGAAAGCGGCCAAGGTGGGCCCAGGAGCTGGGCGCTAGTCTCTGTTCCGTGGGAGCCTGGGCCCTTCTGGGGAGAGAGCAGGTGTAACGGGGCGGGGCCGGAGAGGTGTGCCTGCCGGAGGTGAGGTGTTTGAGCCCCTGAGGGTGCCCCCAGCCAAGGAGCAGGCTTCAGCCATTACAGGAAAGGTTTCTCCCAGATGGCCTTCGTGTCTGGCTCCAGAGACCAGGCTGTCCCGAGGCACCGACAGCAGAGAAAGGCAGCTCTCCTTGTTTGTTTTCCACAGTCAAGCTGAGCTCCAGCTGGCTTTCCCTTGGGGGGTCAGAGCATCCCACGGGAGGCGGAGTGGGCTCTGCTAGCCTGGGAATGCGAGTGATGGGTCCTCAGCCAGCCGTCCTCGCGGCCTGAGCCTGGCCCCCGCCCCAACAAGCTCTGCTTCTGGCCCCGCAGGTGCTCTGCAAGATATCATCTTGTCACAGCGGACCACCTCCACCTGGAGGGACATGGGGCTCCTGACAGTTATGCCCACGGCTCCAGAGCCCCCTGGCATGGAAACCGTTGCCACCTCCACCTCCATCCTGCCAGCCACTGAGGGGGCCAAGGAGGAAGATGCAGTGTTCCTGGCCAAGGTGGAGCCTGACCTCACCAGCCGGGAGAAGATCACCCACCCACCCAGTGAGGCCACGCCACACCCAACGACCCACCGGGCGGCAACACCCAGGGCCAGCACTGCCCAGGCGCCTGCCACCTCTCATGTCCCCAGAGACATGCAGCCTGAGCATCCTAAGACCTCAGCTCCGCAAGGAGTCGGCCAACGCGACCCTCACACCCCCACCACGGAGGACGGAGGCCCTCCAGCCACTGAGAGAGCTGCTGAGGATGGAGCCGTCACCCAGTTCTCAACAGGAGAGGGCTCGGGGGAGCAGGTAGGTGTCTGCTCGCTGTAGTCCTCTCTGTTTCCCGGGGCGATGGGTGACGGGGGCCTGGCGGCCCCTATTGAGGGGTGAGCAAGTGCTTCAGGGTGGGGGACCCAACACCCTGTGCCCTGTGAGCATGTCCTGTTCCCCACCACAAAGACAGGGTCATGAGGTCCCACCTTCCCTTGGCCCAGGGCTGAACCCCGGGTGGGACAGACTAGAGCAATGAGACCGGAGCAAGAGAGCCCTTCAAAGTCACCAAGAACGGGGCTTCCCAAACTTCGGCAAGGCTCCTGCTGCGAGTGGGGAAGGTCCACCACATTTTATGTCTACTTTATAGGGGCATGGCAGTTTCACACATGACACTAAAGTGAGCCTATTTACTTCCACATAAAAACGCGTGCTTTAGATCACTTGACCTATCTCTGCCACAGTCCAGCCAGGGCCCTGTGTGATGGCGCGGGAGGGGCCCAGAGGTCCGGTCTGGGGACGGTCTGCGCTGAAGGCAGCCCCGACCCTGGAGGCCTGATCCGCTTCTGGGTTTGGAAGGGGACCCGGATGCTGCTGCAGGCAGTGGGCCACCCCACCCTGATCCTGCCCTGCCCTCCCGTAGGACTTCACCTTCGACGTATCCGGGGAGATCACAGGTGGGCCTGCTCTGGAACCTGACCAGCGGAATGGGCCCGCACCGGACCCTGGGGCCTCCCAAGGCTTCCTGGACAGAAAGGAAGTGCTTGGAGGTGAGTTTCCTCTCAGGTGGGCGGGGAGGGGGCAAACCGCTGCTCTTGGGGTAGAGGGTTGTCTTTAGCCCCGGTGCGGGGCCGACCACAGCCAAGGCCCCTTTGGAGGCTGGCTGCCCAGCGGGGCGGAGAAGGCCGCTGCTCAGCCCCAGGAGCAGCCAAGCCGAGCCCGCCTTTGTCTGCCCATCCAGGGGTCATTGCCGGAGGCCTGGTGGGGCTCATCTTTGCCGTGTGCCTGGTGGGCTTCATGCTGTACCGGATGAAGAAGAAGGATGAGGGCAGCTACTCCTTGGAGGAGCCGAAGCAGGCCAACGGTGGGGCCTACCAGAAGCCCAGCAAGCAGGAGGAGTTCTACGCCTGACGGGAGCGGTCCTCCCCCTCCCCCTGCCACTCGCCAGGCCCCCACTTGCCTCTTTGGTGAAGAACTGCAGGCCCCGCGCCCCCGGGCACCGTGCCACCTCCCCGACACTCCCAGCCCCTCCAGCCCCTCCCCGCAGAGTCCTGGGGCGTGCTGGGGGCTCGCCTCTGCTTCTTTGACTTCTTCCTGGAGACTGGGGCGTGAGGGCTTTGTGCATCTGACCTTTCCACCACAGCCAGCGCCTGGCATCTCATCATTCTGACTCAGCTTCTCCAGCCTGGGACAGCTCTGGAGAGAGGACCCCACTGCTCTGGACGTGGATAGCGCGCTATGGCTGGGAGATGCTGGGGCTGAGGGCTGACGCGTTGGTAGCACTTCCTGGTGGAGACCAACAGTCTTGGGGGCGCAGACGGCTGAGTGGCAGGGAGAGGCATTCAGGGCTCCGTCCGAGTTCACTTTGTTTCGTGGGGAGGTCTAATTTAGATATCAACTTGTTTTTGCACATGTTTCCTCTAGTTTCTTTGTTCATAGCCCAGTAGACTTTATTACTTTTGAGGTAAGTTAAGTTGATTTGGTTAATCCCCCATCTTGCTTCCCTAATCTACGGTCAGGATGCAGCATCAGGGTGAAGACAACTTTTTTTTTTTTTTTTTTTTTTTTAACTAGGAGAACCAAATCTGGAAGCCAACATAGTTTATGTGTTGTCTCTTGAGTTTGTCACTCACGTGTGCAACAGGGTATGGAATGGCTGGGTGGCCCTGCTGGCTGGCTGGCCAATCTCGGCTGCCACAGGCAGTCACTTTAGAGCAGTCATGCCTGTGTCCGTGAACTTGGGGCCGTGGCCTGGGCTCCTGCAACGTTGAGAGCCCACGTGAGAATTGAATCCTGGAACCTCAGGCTGGGGACAGAGGTGACTGTGGGGTGAGAGGTGGCGGTGGGCCCGGAGACTCTCCCACAGACCAAGCTCGCTCTTTGACACCATCTCTGGAGACACTTTCCCCTGGGAGGTGACAAGAGGGGTCCTGGGCACACCTGACACTGAGCCGCTCCACGAAGGACGAGGTTCACCTTTGATCAGCTCCTGTGGCGCTGCCCTGGGCTGGAATCAGGAATGTTCCAAAGAGTGATAGTCTTTTGCTTTTGGCAAAACTCTACTTAATCCAATGGGTTTTTCCCTGTACAGTAGCTTCTCCAAATGTAATAAACTTTAATATAAAGTAGTCACATGAACTCTGCTGCCTTTGCTTCTCTGCTGGCCGGTGGATGTGACCAGCCTTTTCTCTGAACATAGCAATACTGGGAAACTAAGCTCTGTGCCTGCCTCCTTCCTGCGGGGAGGGGTCCCGGGGCCAGAGTCTCTCCGGATGGTTTGTTTTTTGTCTCTGCTAATATTCTTCAGGAGGCCGGCAGGTTCAGCCAAGGCTGTGTTAAGCCCTGATGTCGATTTCTGTGTTGCCAAGCTCAAAGCACCATCCCTCAATGGTTAATGAAGCTGTGATGCCCCAGCACAGCTCGACCTGAGGCCGCTGGCCCCACGGAGGCCTGGAGCTGAGGCCTGCCTCTCAGACACCTTTGTGAGGAGCAGAGACCCTCTGCCTGGGGGCTTCTGGGAACTCCTGTACTTATTTAATTTGACAACGTTCCAGCTTTTCCGTTGGCCGCTCCGAGAGGAGGGACGTCTGTGACTCAGAGACGCACCGCCAAACGAAGGGAACCTGTGCCCCGTGTTCAATGCTGGGACTTTCTGCCTGGAACGGATGACTGGACATGACTTGGGGGTGGGGAAGGGGTCTGTGACCGTGCTCATCTCTGCTGGTCCCTGGGACAGTGCCGAGCCTGTGGCTGGGCCCATTCATGTAACTCAAATAAACGGTACTTGTCATCCCGGGCTGCCGTGGTGGTTGAGTGTCTTCTTGGCCCATTGATGTCCTTCCCTGTCTCCTCCTTGGGGGGTGGGTGGCCTGGCTCTAGGGCTGAGCTGAGCACTGGTCCCTCTGCTGTGAGGGAAGCTGTGGCCCCCTCTGCCCTCACGCCCCAGCCCTACTTCAGCTGCACCCTCTTCCCTCCCCCCAGGGCCCTGCCTTAGTCCGCCCTTCCAGGTCATCCTCTTCCTCAAGCGCACCAGGCTCCCTCCAGACTCCAGGGTGCTAGTCCCTTCTGTTTGCTTCTTGTCTGGGGACTCCTGAAAACGCACCAGGAAATTGTCTGAAGTGCCAAAGGTCAACAAAAATTGTCCGCACATTGGGAAAAAGCCGCAGGGGGAATGTGGGGGGTGCAGTTGGAAAAGCTCGGCCCCCTGCAGGAGCCCCAGTGTTCTCGGGCCACCTGGTGGCCCTCCCCTGACTTAGTCTTGTGCAGGCTGTGGCCCCCACCCGGGCCCTCCGCTGTCCCTTCAGGGCAGGCCTCCCCACCTGGGGCCTTCAGCACCGGAGTTGAAGTGTGGCCCTGGGTGCAGGCCAGCCCCCAGGTGCGTCCAGGTGCACGTGTGGGTGGGGCAGGGCCCGTAGGCCCCGGACAGCCGGGGGCTGGGACAAAAATCCTCAGATGGTTCCACAAACAGTGGCAATAGCAAGTGCTTGTCTTCTGCCAGTCCCTGCACCAGGTGGCCAGGGCACAACTGTGGGAGAGGCTACCTGCATTTAGTGAACGCTGTTACTGAGCTCCCTGTGGGCCGGACCCTGCTAGCCAGGGTGCCTGGACCCCTTCATTCACCACTGAAAACTCCCGACCCTGTGGGGAGAGCAGTGCGGTTAACAATCCGCACTTGACAGACAAAAGCCGCGTCGCAGGGATGAGGATCTTGCCCAAGATTGCGTGCCAGTGAGCCGTGGAGCAGGGGCTTGACCAGGGGCAGCCTGGCCCCTGCGGCCACATGGCTCGTGTACACCACCTGTTTCTGTCATGTGCCAATAGATTAGGCCGCACCCCAGTCCTGCACGACCCCAGGCCCACCCCGCTGGCCGCTCGCTGCTGAATCTTCCTGCTTCCTGCTCCTCCTGGGTCACACCCCTGGCCCTTCCCCAGGGCACCGCCCAAACCTAACCCAGGCTTCCTGAGTGTTTGAGACCAGAAGGAAAGGAGGCAAAATGTGAACTCCGCACCCTGACCGCAAGGAATTGCTCTGCCTGTCTGTCCTCAGGCCTCACCTGCTGCCCCACTTCCCACGGCCTGGACCTCTTCTCCCCTCTGCTCTGCTTTCCCGAGATTCTCTCTTCCCCATACCTGGACCGGAGCTGTTGAGCATGATTGCGTTTTTCCCACTCACTTCTGGAGCGTGTCTACGCGGCTCGGGTGTGTGTGTTCCACATTGTGTAGGGATGATGGACGCCCTGAATTTTCCACTAAAAACTCATTTCAGTTATTTCTGAAACGCCTTCTTAATTTGCAGCCAGCTTCTTATGCCTGAAATTGCACTGTTTGCCCTGCTTGATAGCACTGGGCTTCACACCCAAAAGAGAGGTGCACAGCCCTGCTCCTGGGGAGTCTGGTCCTGAGGCAGACACGCAGGTCAGGGCAGTTTCAAGGACGGCGATCAGAGTGGGCTGATGGCGTGACGGGGGCCCCTCACCAGGCTTGGCACCCAGGTCACAGAGTGGTACTTCTACGGGCAGGGTCTAGAAGGACAGACTCAAACTGGCCTCTCAAACAAGGGCAAGAAGGCATCCCAGGCAGAAGGCACAGCTTTGGCAAAAAAGGGACTCAAGAGGCTTCGTGCGGGATGTGAACTGAAAGCAGGTGCGGGGAGTGATGGGCTGGAACGGGGTGAGAAAGCTTCTCTGAGAGGCTCAGCAGAGCCAGCAGCGGGGGCGGGGTGGGGGTGGGGTGATGTGGGAAAGACAGAACTGCAGGGGGCGGGGGGATGGCCTGGCAGGGGCGGGGAGGAGCAGCTGGGTTGGAGAACCAGTTGAGAGGCAAACTGGGCAGGACCTGTGAGGCTGGCCCCACCTCGCTGGGCAGTACCCTGCCCTCCCACAGGTATATTGAGGGGAACCTGAGGGAGAGGTGCTGGGATGGGGCTGTCCTCTGAGTTGGCATCAGGGGTGGGGCTGGAGGGACAGTCATCCCGCAACTGGCTCCCTCCGGGGGGTGTCTCATGGCCCCTCCCAGGTTAGGCACTGACAGACGGCAGGTGGACCTCCAAGCAGCACCTGGGAGAGAAGTCTTTTAAATGGGTCTGCAGAAGACCGCTCCTTAGGTAGGAGTGCCAGGGCCTGTTCCCACCAGGGAAGCGTCCGTCCGCCTCTCTCTGCTCAAGCTCGCCCCATCTTCCTCTCCAGCTGGGCAGAAGAGAGGGGGCGGCCCTCGGTGGGCTCCGCGTGTCTGGAGCGGGAACACGGGAGGGCCCGGGGCTGGGAGCCTGCTCGCTCTGCCTGGCTGTGAACCCAGCCCTGGCCTGGCTCTCTCCCTCCCACTCCCCAGCACCCTGCACCCCCACACAGGGCCTGTGCTTGGGCCACACCGGCTTGCAGTCGCCCAGGGTGTACAGATGGGCGTGAGGGTGGCGGGCCCCCAAACCAGGCCCTCAGCAGTGCTGTATTCCGCACCTGCTCTGCTTCCAGGATGGATTCAGAGCTTCTCGAGGGAGAGGCCCTGAGTCCTCTGTGCCATTCGTTATAACTTGGGGTTCACTCCTCAGCAGCTCTCGTCATGTCATCGCAGGTGTCTGTTTCCACACCGGCCCCCTGCCACCCTGGGTGCTTCCTGAAGGCAGGTGCTTTATTACAAACCAGCAAGAAGCGGGGACTCGCTGCAAATGTGGGAGTCTCTGCCCTTGAAGGGCTCGCTGTGGCTTCCTGGTGCCCTGAAAGTCAAGCCGTCTTTAAAAGCTTATTAATGGTGCAAGACACCACCCCACTCCTACCAGAAAGGCTGATATTAGAAGAAAACCGTTGTTGGAGGGTGTGTGGAGCAACCAGAATTCTCCTGTGCAGTTGAAAACTGCACCAATTGACATGAGCACTTTGGAAACTATAGCTAAACATCAGCCTGCCCGGCAACCCAGGCGGAATGAGAGCGTGTGTCTGCCGGGAGGCGTGTGTGAGCATGTGCGCAGCAGCTCCCTTCCTCGGAGCCCACACGCGGGAACAACCCAAACGTCCATCAACAGGAGAATGGACAAATTGTGGTACATTCATGCAATGGAATACTACTCAGCAATTAAAAGGACAAACAATTTCTACACATACAACTCAGGTGAGAATCACAGGCAATATATTAAGTGCAAGAAGCCAGACACAAAACAGCTCATCTTGCATAATTCCATGTATATAAAGTTCAGGAACAGGCAAAACGAAAGGATGGTCATAGATGCCAGGGGTCCCTCGGCTGGGGGTTGAGGGTGTGGTATTGTCGAGGCAGCGACTCAAAGGAACCTTCTCTGAAAGGTTCTCTGGAATGTTCTCTGGCTTGATGTAGGCGGTGATTACAAGAGTGTATGTATATGTAAATAAATCATTAAGTTGTACACTTAAGATGAGTGCACTCTGTGTATGTTATTTTGTAATGAGAAAGTTAAAGGGGTGGGGGAAGCTTATAAAAGGACTTCTGAGATTCTAATTAGTTCCTTTAAACTCCACTGCAGCTTTTTGAGCAGAAATGAGGGCAGCCCACATGGCCTACGTTTTCTTCAGGGTCCCAGAGGATTCTAATTTATGGGCAGCGAGGCCCAGGGCAAGAGCCCTGTGCGCCACGCGGAGCAGAGCGAGCCGCTGCTTCCCAGGCCTGCGGGGCTGAGCAGCAGGCCCCTCCTCTGCCAGCCAGGGGGGTGGGCACAGCCCAGCGGGCAGCCTGACCACCCCTCCTCCTCCTGCTGCCGCCAGACCCCGCTCTTCCTCTGGTGCCTGGAACCTGCCCGGCCGGCGGGGTTTCCAGCACTTTAGGCGGGGAGCTAAGCCGCTCCTCCACTCCAGGAAAATATTTGTTCAGGGACTTGGCACCCGCAGAAGAGGAAATAAAAGCCACCTTGGAGCCGAATGGGCGGCGCAGCCTCGTAGCTTTGTCTGCCCCTCCAGATTGCCTCCGAGGCCCAAGGCCTGCCGTCTGGGGCCCGGACCAGGGGTCCCACTCCCCACTCCCTGGCACTGGCCGGCTTTAGGGTGAGACGGGGGCGCCAGCTGTTCGTTCTTCCAGTTCAGGAGGCATCTGTCAGTTCAGTGGGCAAATGTTTGTGGAGCCTGCTGTGTGCCAGGCACGGTGCTGGGCCCCGCGGGGCCTCGGTGACTGCGGAGCTGTCTGTACCTTCAGGGCTGCTGTGAGGCAGTGAGGGGTGCCCACTGGAAAGGCCATTTATGGCATCTAGGAGAATTGGCCTGGGTGCTGGGAGCCTGGCCTCCGTCCGAAGGATGAACGAGGCAAAGCTATGAGACGATCGGGGCAGAGTATTCCAGGCGAATGGAACAGCGTGGAACAGCGGCAAAGACCTGGAGGCATGGGAGAGCAGGGGGCTTTGGGTCAGGGAAGGAGGGTGGGGTTGGTTGTGGGAGAGCCAGGGGTCAGAGGGGAACCAGCAGCTGGCTGGCCCCACAAGCCCTCTCAGCAGGAGTTCAGGAAAGTGGACTTTACCTCTGCGGTGGGGGGCGGGGGGCAGCACAAGTTTTCATTTTGCAACATTCAAACACATTTGATTCTTTCCATACAGAAAAGTACAAAGGAGAAAACAAAACCAGCCTCCAATCCCACCACCCAGATATAGTTCCTGGTGCCATTTTAAAAATTAAAGTGCTCCGTGCGAGTGATGAGAAATCCAAGCCGGACAGAAAAGTATCTGTGAAAAGTGAAAGCCTCTCTCCACCTGTGTCTCTCGCCAAGGCCAATTCCGGTTAACGGGCCATCGTTGTGTGGCTCCAGACGGTTTCCGTGCCCACGCCTGGGAGTAGAAGTCTAGG